AAAACAAAGTATGGTATGCCCTTGCGCCGAAGCGATTTTTTTTTATGTTTCTTATAAACTTGTGTAGTAGAGGTCGATGACGTCATAATATGACTTCATAATGTGTACTGGCTATCGCGTGTCGTGGGTAACAAAATTGTATTAGAAAACAAGTCTTAACATTTTCTGTGCGGTAGATAGAGCAATTATGGAATTTAATTAGATATTTTGCATAGAAATCTCCGTATGTAGCCTTAACTCACTTGCGTAGGTAATTGTGCGTCACAACATAGCAATACGACGGCCCGTTCTAGTAACAAATGCGGTCTTTGTCGTTATTCATTCGTCTCAAATATAAATATAAGTATTTATGTACAGTGTTAAGAATTCACTGGGAAATGAACTTTTAGTTGGTACGTGATCAAATCAACTGAGTAGCCCTTCTTGCTTCGCCGGATTTAATCACGTGTCCAACTAAAAGTTCATTTCCCAGAGAACTTTTTTTAAACATTGTTGTTTATTTCTTAAATCATAACTTACCGATACAATTTTCCTCAGGTCAGATGAGTGTGAGATATTTGTCCCTCGAATTTTAATTAAAGAATAATACGAAAGCCAAGTGTGTGCATCTGCAAACTTCCCAAAATTAAAGTGGGTCTTATTGAACGTTTTAAAAAAGTATTCCTCATGTTGCTTCTAATATTTTGACGTTTAATCTGTTGACAATTTGCATCCGTGCTCCAAAAGCTGAAACCATAAATAGAATAAAATCCCTTATTTTGTTTGTTTTAACATGTAAGTCTTTGAAATTTCCTATGTTTATGGATAAAAAATATACAGAGAAGGAAAGAAAATTTCAGAAAGTAGCATTGCTTGTTCATGTTGTTTTTCGATGTAAATTGCTTCTCCACGATTTTACTGGACCATCCTCGTACAGTGCTGCTATCCCACAAGTTGACATGGGATGGGATCGGATAGGATTCAGGATTCAGGATTCACGATAGAAACATATAGAAGTTAATCCAATCCTATCCTATCCTATCCTATCCTGTATCCCACAGCCAATCAGATTCGAGCAAAGGTTCATTCATATTTCAGAATAAATTACAAAAACGAAATACGATATAAAATGTTTAAAAAGGAAATATTTATAAAATTTCAATAGAAAATAAAACATTCTTTTCTCTAAAAATAGATTAACATTATAAACTTCGAGTAACACGGCGTACGATCTAACCGTGAACGATCACCGGAAGAATTTGGGAATGTAAACAACGAAGAGTCCAGCCATCGAAAAACCCTATTTCTTCAGCTTGTTTGGATGATTTAACCGATTCTTACTTGTGTAAAAGTGTAATAACATGTTTTTCTGTTAAATATGCTCTGTTTATTTGGATAATTCCACAGGAACCGTCAACAGCGGACTTGAATAGAAGATGTGCGAGATCATGTAAGTATTGTATACTACAAACTGTACACTGTAATTGTTTGCATTTTTATACATATTTATCCCTTTAAACAATGTTCTGATATCTTAAATTATAAACATTTTATTCTATTTAATATTTATAAACCAAAATAAGGTGCGGAAAAAGAAGTAATGTAGACAGAAGGGGGGATAAATATTTACAAATACTCTGTCATATGATTTAATCAGCTATCAATGAGCTCTAAGACTAAAACAATCATATGTATTATGCCTTAATCAGGTTGTTACTCTTATCATTTCCCTAATAAGGTCTGAAAATAGTTTCTTTCGTTTCAGTATAATTTATAATAAATGAATGTAGAATCATCATGACCATTTCTAATGCTACTGCTTAAATGTTTAATAAGCTCACTCAGCAGTGCACTTACATATTGTACATGTATGTATGATGTATTGTGAGTTATGAAACCTAAGTTAATCTTTTAATATTCATAATTACAGAGAATGGATTTCGATTTGTCTGGAATCATGCATCATCACAGTATAAAGATTTTAACCTAAAAAGTATGTATGATTTTATTTTTATCATGTATTTTCACATGGTCATTAAAATACATAAACATCATTATCTGAGTTGAGGTGACATGTATGCAGTTTCTCGGAACAAGTGATTTCTTCTTTTAAAAATCTTGAGAGTAAAACTGAAAAAAATGTTGAATTTTTCTGGTCATCATGTTGTGAAATAGATATTTTCTTCTTCTTTTTTATAATCAAATGTCAAGACCAAAAAACAGAAAACCAAGAAAAAACACTAAATAGATAAATACAAGCAGAAAATAGAGAAAAGTCACTTAAACAAATGTATTCATACTTGTTAGCAAGTTTACAAAATAAACTGAATTATAATATACAAGTTAATTATGTTAAATAAGATTTTTTTTTTTATTTTATATGATTGAGGTTGCAGTATAAGATTTTATTTTTCATGATTTCTAAATGCATTACTTTTGGAAGAAAAAGGTGAAATTAAAGCCAATTGTACAATCAAAAACATGTAAAATTTTAAATGTGTATGAAATGTGTATGACAAAGTTTACAATCTACATGCCTATAATGTTGTTTTTTTTATTTCAGGAAATCCTGCACATTTGAAGCTGTAAGAATGCAGTTCATGCCATATGCTGTTAGAGTAAATGATGAAAAGATGTTCAAACCAGTGTCAAAGAGTCCCAAGTCTAAAATCATGGTGCTTTTATTACAGAGATCAGTGTGTGTTTTCTGTGAATTGTTGACATTTGTGGAACTGTTCGGTTTATGACCATTTCTCTGACAATAACTCTGACATTTGAATTTTAATTTGATTGACGGATAAGGAAGCAAAATCATATGCATGTAAAATATTATACAACTGTAATAAAAGCATTGATAATTTTAGATTTAAACAAAGTTCATGAACATGTATCTGTGATCTTTGCATTGAATTCATAAATGCTGTACATGGATACTTTTAATGACTCTGTCTCATGGTAATGGAATATTCAATTGTTAAACATTGTTGAGGAATCACCTTGAATAAAAATATTGTTACTTGATGAAGTATTTTTCCTCATTTAAAAACTGAAATTTTAAGATCAAATGTCAAGGTCAAATACAAGGTTTACTCAAGAATGTGTTATAAATGCTGTAAATACTGTGAATTCTTATGCATGTTTATAAGATCTAAGGAACGTGTGGAGCATTTTAATATTTCTCAATCAGACACATTCAAGATCAAATGCCAAGGTCAAATACAAACCTGGCTTACTCAAGAATGAGTTAAAAATACTGTAAATACTGTGAATTCTTAATTTCTTATGCATGTTTTATAAGGTCTAAGGGACATGTGTGACCTCACTACATTATTTATTACTGTCAATCTGTCAGACAATAACAATTTAGAAAATATGTTAGAACTATTAAACATAAATTGTTTAATTTTCACACATAAAACAGAATTGGAAATTGGAATACATTTGTACAGCACTGAGCTCACACACCATAAACTGAGAAGAAACTGAAGTTAAATGAAAAGAAAATTAACCTTTCGATTATCTTGAATTTTATTTAGCAACTATATATTTTGCATGTTTGTAAAATATCACATACAACAGATGATGAACTGAAATTTTAAATAAGAATTAATTATGAATTTAAATAAAGAAAAATCATAACAATTTCACATTTAAAATGTTTAATATGTGATAGTCAAGATATTCTAGATCTACATTTTGACTTGTCTGTTTGGATTATGGTCTAGTCATATCTTCTTTTTTTTAGAATTGCATACAGAAAACCTGTTATACAGGCACAGTTAGACTATACATGTACATGCATGTTATTTTCATGGTGCTCAGTTTAGGAAAAAATAAAATATTTAATGAAACATATTCTTTAACATTATGACGGTATAGGCCTATGATTTTTAAAAAATAATCATAACACGCCGGGCGGGAGTCGCGATTTCGGGTCTCCCGATCAATATTAATAGGAAAATTAAAATACTAATTATATTTTTTCTTTAATTCTTCTGGAAGCCCAATTTCTTTACATATGTTCGCAAAATCAGTACTTGCCCACGTTTAATTACGATCTGTTTGTTTACATTAATTTTTAACATGGTAATGATAATCGTAAATTTAATTTGTGCGGTGAGTCGGGAATTATGGAATGCCGATCTCGATTATTTTTCTCCATTAAAATACATAACATTTAAATGAATACCATAACTATATCTGATTTTTTTCCTGGTTATTCATTTTTTTCGTTTTGTCAAATTAATTCCTAAATATTAAAAAACTGAGAGTTGCAGGATAGGATAGGATAGGATTAGACTGAAATCACAGGATAGGATTGTGGATGCAGGATTCACGATAGGATAGGATAGAATTGTCAACTTATAGGATAGCAGCACTGTATAATACCGGACCTTTATATATTCATATACATGTAACAAGGAACAAAGATGGATTTGTCAACCTCACCTTATCTAAATATATATGTTATTAAGTCAGCAATGGACAGCTGAACGCTCTTTATACCCTATACAAAAATATCTCATAAATTCCAAAGTGGAACACAGGGATGTACAATTACAATAAAATGTGTTGTTAAAACTATTATACGTTGCTCTCATTTGACAAAATCTGTACACATCAAATTAGATAAATGATTTTAAAAAATGATAAAAATTCAATTAATGAATAAATGCATATTTTCATATAAAGACAATGTGCTGATCTTCTGTTTCTTACAAAAATGATAACAAGTTGAATGACATTTTTAACGTATATGTGAATTATATTTATGTTTAATTTTTGACATATGGCAGGTCCTTTAAACTGAGAAGCTGATTTTGTCAGTTTCTATAGGATACGGTACAAAATTGTAGTTAGGGAGGGCAATCTCCTTTATATAAAGCACGTGTTTCTTTAAGATACTTGTCTGAAGAGCTATCTCATTAGTAACAGGAAACTGAGAAGAATGTTCTCGAAAAGTAACTTTTCTTCAAGAATGTTTCACAGTACTTGAATTTATATACTTCATTTAAAGTAATTTGATTCAGTAAGTACCAGTTAAAGCAGAGGTAAGGTAGGTGTTCGTCGTATGATTTTTAACATCAGTAGATAAATCTTTTTCTTTAACTTTAGTGAATTGAATTTTTCTTTCACTTTATTTTGTGGATTACCAAAGTATATAAAGACTTTTCTTCTCATTTGTTATTTTGGAGATTGTTACTAAGCTATGATCTTTCAAACAAGCGCATACTTCGGTAAGTGTTACTTTCGTTTTTAATGCAAAAAGATAATTGCTTTGCGATGTTAAGGTAGAACCTATGTCGGAAAAGTCTTTTTCCCAAGATTTTCAAACTTTTCAAAATGATAAATTGGTACTTGCTTATCAATCAGTTAAAATATCATGATATATTTTCTTGTTTTTAAATCTAGTACAGCCCTTGAAACTTGGTATGGTATTTACATACTGAGACTACACATTTTAGGGGTATTTGTGAAGAAGAGAAAATAAAAAGTCACAAAAATACCTCTTCAACATCGTCGGTTATAGACTTTATTACCTGAACAATATTAAACACTAATTCTTAAGAATAATATCTTTTTTCTTCAATTGACAAAAAGATAAGTCCACATTTAAAAAAAAATAGGCAAATGAATTCTATTATTTTTTTAGTCAATTTTCCACCCTATACATTTGTTAATATTTTGTAGAAGTCTTTGTCACAATGTTTTCAATCTTTAATATGATGACGAACATACCCAAATGATTACAAAAAGTGATTAAAATATATACCTTTCCCCTCTAACCAATGAGAGAGAGGGTATTTACGGATGCTAATATTCTTGACCTTTTTGCACTTACACGGGATATAATTATAAAATGTCTGCTTGGGGTTACTTTCAGATTTAAAATGTTTACCAAAATTTGTTCTTTTTATTCAAAAATATCATATTTGATAAAAAAAAATTGTAATTAAACACACAAGAATATGAATAAGTAACAAATTATTATGAAAAGGAATACACATCAATTCATGATAGATATATGATACAATGTATCACAAAAATGTACATAGAACGCACGATCTACAACATGTAAACTTAAAATCGGATATTTGGTATATTTTGTATCATATCAAAATAATTTCAAAATTTCTACTGCTTTTAAATTTTGACTTTAAATTTTGACTTAAGTCTGTCCTCAGTTTATGGTTTTGGGGTCTGGTCTGTTGTGTATAAATTGCAGTGCTTCAGTTGATATTTCAGCATTTAACGTCAAGATTGTTTTAAAGTGTAAGGTAAAATGGTAATTTTGTTCAAATCAGAAACTTTTTCGTAGCTGGTTATACTCGCTACATCTTCCTATCTAGCACCAGGTTAGTCAAGAGATTTTTGGTCAAATTTTCCATAACTCTCATGCATGCATCTTATTATTTACTCATCTGTAGTTTTAATTCACGGATATACTGTTTATGAACATTATTAACAGTATACACATTGAACATTGTCAAAGAATTTTAATTTTAGATTAAAGAAAAAAAGGAATTCGACGCACAAAAAAGGAAAATGAATATAAAGCAGAAAATTTCTGATTTCCTAATGATATTTCAAATTTAGTTAATTTAACAGATTTAAATCAGACATTTAAAATAACTCCAAGCTTTATATTTGGTGTGGCAGCATATCGTTGAATTATTAAATGAGGGAATTATAACTCAGGTCTTCAAAATTTGCATACCTCATTGCAATTAATTAAGATAATAAGAGTATATCTAGTGTATAGAATAAGAATATAAGTATAAGAGAATAACAAGAGAACTATAATAATAATCTCTTAAGATAAATAAGAAATTAATTATATAAACTGTGAAATCAAAACAATTAGATCTACTATAACCAGTAGACCCGAGTCTAACGGTACCTAACATAGGGGAAATGTGTTATAATACATTTATAGTTAATGTAACAACAGCTATTGGCTATGTATTATCAAAGTTTAAATGTACTTTATTCGAGTAATCTAATAGAAGTTCTACTAATCGACAATCGCATTCTTGGATGGTGAACCAGTTAACCAGATACTCGTTGACAACACTAGAAAATATGTTACATTATTCTAACAAAGTCTTTTATTAGTAAATCAAAAAGCGGGTGGGGGGCAATTGAGGAAGGGAATTAGTTTTCTTCGTAATGAGAAAACAATTAAAATTAATATACTTGCGATAAGAATTGAATATAATTCTAATAAAAAACAAACAAACATGTCTTTATATAACCAACGGTTTTAGTAAGTATATAGTTGAAATCTTTCGCAAATTGTTATTCTGTCATCTTTGTTCGAAAAAGCAGACAAAAACGCCAAATAGTTTTAAACTTTTTGCATAAATATTTTTTTTTGTTTCTTTTTAGCTGGATCTTGATTAAAGGATATCAAAATGGAGAGAAGCAATTTTATCTGGAAATGGATTTTTCTTTTCTTGATGCATTTTACACAATCCTATGCCGAAAAGCCTTCTGTCACAGAAATGTATTCAAGACGAGAGGAATTGAATCTTTTGAAAAGCGTTCTTAAACGTTTTAGTGCTTTAGAGGAGCTTGAGAAAGAAAACATCAATAAAATGGAGAGCATCGAACGGAAACTTAATATAATTAGCGAAAAAATATCAGATTGTGAGGGTTATTTCATTAAAGTTTTTTTCTCTTGAATTTCCGTTTACATTTGTCATGCAAATAATCATGCGACAATTTTCTTTTTAAAAAAACTTTAGATTTTTTGTTTTCAAGAAAAAAATCCTTTGTTCAATAGACATCTAAAATTAGATGGAAAATAATCCTTGATTTTATATTCTTATCTAACCTCTTATGTTCCAGATTTCAACCTTTGCTCTGCTTCATTATGTTTTGTTAAATGGACTTTTGAGCTTGATAACATTCATAATCTCCAAATATTTCATTCAAATTTTTGTATGCGTAAACAGTATGATGTCAATTTTTTTTAATATGAAAATGATTTTATTCTTATCAAGAAAAGATAAATCTGCTACAAAAGTATTTGCTATTTTAACTGTAGATCAACAAACACATGTCAATTTCTTTGCTTTTCCTCAGTTGGCAATGAATACAAAAAGTTGTTCCGGTTATATGTTAAATACATTAAATAATAAATAATAAATTGTTTGTTTGATTTAGTTTAAAAATCCACTCGGGTGCAAAATACTGTAATGTACTTATTTTTTATATCTGTCTTTCAATGAATAAAAGGATAGATTTTAGTCAGATGAATTCCTAATTAAATCTGTAGTAAGAAGCTATGTTCTACAGATATTTTACAACGCGCAACTTGAAAAAATTAAGAAAGTCAAAAGTATTATGTGAAAGTTGCTCGGAAGATTTTTGCTATCGTTTTGTTCTTAGTTCTCCATAGTGTAGGTATATTATACACACGGAATACGACATTTATAAATGTTGCACTTTTATTTTGCATAAATAAGCTTAATGTATACTGGAATATCACATTTTAGGTGTGGGTGGTATTTCTGTACACCCCTCCATCCCGACGTCACAAACCACAAGAAAATCTCCTAATACAACAGTAAAAATAAAATCAGCACATACAACTAGAACACAATCTGCTACTACAGAGACTACCTCTACGAAACCAACATCGTCTATTACTCAGCTACCAAGGTCAATAGGTAACTTTTTTCTGAATACTTTTTAAATTTTATCGCAGAACAGATTGATGTCCGTACTTTTTATTTCAATTTCAATATTTAAACCCATTGTAGGTAGTAGAGGCAGAGAATTTTTAATTCTTTTCATGAAAAATCACCCAGCTGCAAAAGGATCCCCTACAATCTACATTACAACAGGCGGTAATGCGTCTGTGAATATATCAACCTCAAATGATCTTAATGCGTCCACTAAATTAGCAACTGACATTATACTGAATGTTTCCTATTATTCCAATATCACACTACCCTATGATCTAAGCTGTGATTATTTATCGATTGAATCCAAGGCCGTGCTTCTACAAACATCTGAACTATCCACCGTATCAATATTTGATAGTTTTCATAAATCTTCAAACGATGGAACGCTGATTATTTCAACAAACAGATTGTCAACAAGATATCTTGTGTCGTCAACGAATCCATACAAAAAAAGCGAAGGCTACTACAGTCAGTTTGCTGTTGCAGCCTTATATAAAGACACCAACGTTAATATTACATTTAAAATGAAAACCAGTACTTCAATATCTCTTCTTGGTGGAACATACGAAGACCAGGATGTACTAACAACTACTTTAAATAAATATGAAACTTTACAAATTATGCATACTTCTGATCTTACTGGGACTTTTATTGAATCCACAAAACGAATAGCTGTGTTCTCAGGGAACCGATGTCAGCAGATGAAAGTCCTAGCATGTAGTCACATGGTTTCTCAGTTACCCCCGACTACCGAATTAGATAATCGATATATTATCCCCGCATTCTACGGAAATTTAGGGACATTAATTCAAGTGATAAGTGAAAGTCAGAATTCTATTAAAATCAGCGAAGGTAGGAATTCATCAACCTTGCATATGAATGAAAAAGAATTCATGAACATTGAGGTGACATCAGGTGAAACTACTACTGTAGAGTCAGATAACCCTGTGCTAGTAACTGGTTTTGCAATGGGTTCCAGCAATAAAGATCCTTATATGACAGTCATTCCCGGTGTCAATCAATATGTTGACTACTATAATGTAGTTGTACCAGACGGATATGCAAAGAACTATATCTGTGTGATAATTCAACAAAAGTATACAGATGACCTTAAAATAAATGATACCTCAACTGATCATTATAAATCCGTGCAACAGAGCTCTGCTGCATTCGAGACCACTTACAGCATTCGTATTTTTGAAGTAGACAGCGGACCCATTGTTATATCGACAACTAATAACTCAACATTTGGATTAATAGTCTACGGTCATCGGATGGATGATGGATATGCATTCACCGGCAATTATGTTCTTTCATAAGGTTTTAAAGTGTGTAATTTACTCTATCCCTGACATATTAATTCAGCCCAATATAAATGTATCAAATCTAAAATGAATATTTCTTTTTATTTTACACAATTTGCAAAATAAAAATGGATAAAAATTCCTTCTGTTAAATACCAACAAACTTAATCAAAAGGACTCCATATGTGACTAAAAAACATACTACATTTTGTTTTACATGTAAATAATAAAAGTATGGCTTCGGAACCGTAACCATCGTTAGAACTCATACAATGAATACAAAATTGAAATGCAATGAAAACAGTTTCAATCTTATTTGCCTAATTATTTTTATACATTTAGGTTGAAGTACAAATGTATTATTGTCCAAGCAAATGTTTTTAAAAAAGTGGAGGCCAGAATTACCGCATTGCAAAAAAATTCAACTCATTACCGCTTCATTTCTTTGAAATGTTGGGTGATTATTATATATCGCTACATTTTATAAATAAGACTATAGCCTATTACTAGTCATTACCGCTACATATTGAATCAGCCAGCAGTGTCACTGAATAAAAGTCCTATTCATTTTTTACAATTTAAGGGGTTTTACAAGAGAGGAGTACATCAAGCATATGGTCTTCAAAATTCACTAATTATGTTATATATGTGTGTTTCATCCATTAAAATGATTGATCAGTCTTAAAACTTTCTAAAATGTTTAATTCCAAAAGATACATTTCATATTTAAAAAAATAAGACAAATCCTGCTTGAAGCCTTACTTTTATTTCCTCGTGGTGAGGAAGGGAAACAGGTGTTATGCATTTATTATTTTGTACGTTGAATACACCTGTACATACTTCGTATGGACCAACTGTTGTGTAACCTTTTTTGTAGAGATAATAAGTATTTAGCGGTAATGACAAAAAACTTAATTATAGTATATCCTTATTAAAGTAGCCTAAGCGCCTGTTTGCTTGCTATTCAGTTGTGACCATTTCAATGTATTACCTTCTGTAAATGCATTTACTGTGTCCCTCTCAGTGTTAGATGAAAAACACGCTTTTGTACAAATATGATATTTTAAAGTACTGTAAAACGAGAAAATTTTGCACATACGTATTTAAGTGCAAACGTAAGTTGGAATGCATTGGTGCAAATACATTTAAGCGCTTGAACTTGTCATTAAAATGTATAAGTGTGATATTTTCTTTATCTATATCCATATTTGACTTTTCGGTTTTTCAAGCACGGAAACACAATAGCACCCCCGTATATAAGTAAACATTCGTCAACTTTACCGTGGTGTTGCAACCATATTGACGTGGAACAATATAAAAATTTATATCAATTTTATTTCAAATAAAAATAATGATGTATTTACGCATTTTATTTAAAGCAATGCATGCATCAAACGAAAAATTCACGGTTAAACGGTCATTATAATCAGGTAATATCTTCAAATTCAACCACCATGCTTGATTGCATTGTTTACCTCGAGGCGATAGATCATTTACACGGCAAGAAGCCAAACTTGGAAGGTGCTAATGATAAGTAACGGGTAATAACTACCGTATTTAAAAAAAAATACCGTGGTAACAGTAATTTAATTAAATTGTAATTTGGCAGAACTTTCTCGATAGATCCTACCATGTACAGTGCTAATGTGTATATAAAATCCAACGACCTTTCGGCATAAGGTAATCGCGTGTTCCTATTTAGATTTACTTATAAGAAAGCTAGAAATCCCTTAGCGCACAATAAATTTTAGTGTCCAAGGGCTCTTGCACCAAAGGCGCTAAAATTAGTAGTGCGCCATATATACGTCTTACAGTATCTGGCTTAGTGTCATTCTATTGCATTTTGAACAATTTCCATTAGGTCAAATCTGAAAGATACGTTTTTCGTACTCATTGTTAGACCATAACTTAAACACTGAATTGTCTACAGTTTTCTCCGTTATTTTGCAATCATGAAAAGAAGCACATGGCGGATGTGACCGGTCGTCTGGACATGCTCACTTTTCCATGGCACCTTATCCCACCTTTGATGTTTTTTAGGTCTGTGTTTACTTTGAGCTTGTGTATTGTTCAATGGATATTTAGCTACAGAACTGTAGCTCTCTGCTTGAGAAAATTCGGACAGATAAAGCAGAGCTTCAGATCTAAGCGTTGTAAAAACTTTCGATTTACGCCGACGATTTTTTGTCGCTTTTTTAGGTATTCTTTCATGTACTTTAAGCTTTTTGGCTTTTAGAATGCTTTGCTATATTAATTAATATATTTAACTCTTATATATGATGCTTTATTTACCTTTTAACGGTCAGAAACAGTACGTACTGTATGTAGTTTTGTAATGTCGATTTACAAGCGTTCCCATTCGACGTCCTTAATCACAAACAAACATTTATTACCGTTTTAAAGAGGTAAGTAAATTATTAGGAATAGAAGTTGATTGTATGATTAATTATTGTATATCATTGAAAAGGAGAGTATGAAATACAAGACAAAATACCCGTAGTAAGCGACAAAAAATTGTCTGTATAAATGGTTTTTACAACGGTGTAGCTCTGCTTTATCTGTCCGAATTTTCTCAAATAGAGAGCTACTGTTCTGCAGCTATGGATTTTTTAGCTTGAATGATGCTCGATATATTTCATTCAGTATAACGAAATGAAAACTTTTTTTTTTAATATTTTCATGACTATTAATTTTCAGGAGTTCAACTACATATCTAAATACCTATAATCAGAAAACTCGCATTTTCAGGAGTTCAACTACATATCTATACCTGTAATCAGAAAACTCATATTGTATCACTGATTAAGTCAATTCAAAATTTCTTGTATGTTTTCTTTGGCATAGTTTCAGATGAAAATTTTCAAATTTATTTTTTTCCTTTTTTAATGTTTGCAAATTGAAACAATTCTTCATTATATTGTACATGTAAATATATCCCTTAGTTGACCCTTTCGGTAATTTATAAAAAAAAAATCCTGTTGGGAGCCCCTTGGTACATTTGGTTCTCATGGTAACATAGCGGCCCAGTGAAGAGCCCCCCCCCCCCCCCCATTCTTATTTAAATAGTAAGGTTAAAGCGTGCTCTAGGTACATGTAGTACATGGGAAAACATCAGCCTATAGACGTGTTCGTATAGTGCTAACAGGGGGCCTGTCCATAGAAAATCACCAAGGTCTTGTGCATTGTTTTTTCATGCCTGTAAAGCCTCTTTACAGAATGTAAATAGATTTCGATAGCATGTGAGATGTAGGGTACTGAAATTACTTTATAAGAGAATAGTCATTGCCATGTTGTGGTGTTTGATAGAGAGTGAGTGAACTATTGCAGCCTGTACGACACATCTCTAAAACCAGTTTTGGGAGTTATATCATCTGACGGTGACCCACGTTTGATTTAAAGTCAATATATGAATAAAACATTTTGAAAGTTTGATAACTATTCATATTGTGAATTTTGAAATAATTATGAGTATTCAATTTTCATTGAAAGACATCTCAAAGTATCTTGGCGTCTGACCTTTGACTCTGGAGCCTGAAAGGAAATACCAAGTGTGCCACGCAGTCCTTTTAAGATAAACATTGTTCCTTGCAGTCTTATTAAAAGAAACTGGACAAAGCCATCACAGGATGAAAAGCCAGGTTTCCCAAATTTGGAAACCCGATGGAAACATATGGGAATCGTGACATCAGTAGTAGTTTCCATTTTATGGAAACCACATAGTGGTTTCCACATAGATTCCCGACATGGAAACAATCAACCTGTGGTTTCCCGTAAGTTTCCCAAGATAGGAAACCATGGAAACTTACCCTGGTGGTTTCCACATAGATTCCCGACATGGAAACAATCAACCTGTGCTTTCCCGTAAGTTTTCCAAGATAGGAAACCATGGAAACATGCCCCGGTGGTTTCCATGTAGATTCCCGATATGGAAACAACCAACCTGTGGTTTCCCGTAAGTTTCGCAAGATAGGAAACCACGCAAACATGCCTCAGTGGTTTCCATACAGATTCCCGACATGGAAGCCACCAATGTGTAGTTTTCCGACGTTTCCCAGGCAGGGAAACTTTGAAAGAATATCTCAATACTAACCCTCTTACCTTTTATTTTACAAAAAGTTAAATATTTAATTATGTTACCATATTGTTACCAATTATAGAAATATTTCAAAAGTGTTTACATGCTGTATCAAAATAATTAACTTCAAACAGTTAAAATAACTAGATGTGTATTTCTGTGTGATTAATTTCATATTTCAGCAGCGTGAACGCAATTCAATTTTAATTTTATTTTATTTAACTGAATTTTATTAAATCTAATTTAATTTTGAATTTGATTTATCACTTAAGTTTTGGTAAACTCGTATAGAATGCGTGAAGTGGAATAGGAAAAAGTAAGTGCATGCAGTTATGTAGAAATCAATCATTTCCGATCCCACTTTCTTGAAACTGTCTATGATAAATGTTCCTTTGAAAAAATGGAAGAGCTGAGGAAGGGTACATTTAATGAAATTATTTACAGAAAAGATTTACTAAAAAGATCGATTAAAAAGTAAATAAAGAAATATGTCAAGTTACGATTACTGATTACGGACAGGTGAGACGTTCCTCAATAAAATAATTAATTTTTTATCCAATATTTTGCAATTGACATTGAAGAATCATTCATCGAATTGGCTGGGGGCTGAGTATTATCATACTAGTATTTTACCACATAATCAGATTCACAAGACATCAAGGTACCTTACCAGGCATTTGTGTTAGATACCAGAGGTAATCCGTCAGGGAAAAAAATGCTTCAGTTGGTTTGTCAAAATGACATTTTTAGTGTTTTAAGTTTTTAAATACAAGTTTAGAAAGTGATAAAGATTTTGTTTTAATATTATGAATTAATATATTAATATAAACTGGTCAGATAAGAATCATTCATCGAATTGGCTGGGGGCTGAGTATTATCATACTAGTATTTTACTATTAATAGTGAATATTGTTTTTTTTTTTATCTAATAAATTATTATTTTTATTATTGG